TTCTAAATTTACAGTGAGAATAATTATACAAAATTCATTACATCAATAAATTTAGAAACCTCGATTTACATTCGAGGGGAATGAGATGAGAAGAGAATGTACATCGAGAAGGGGACAAAGGCAGGATACGTAGGCCTTATTTAATAAATTACAACTATACGTACCCAAAAACTTAAAACATTCACTATAGGTCTAAGGCTCATGTACCGGGCACCATGCAATATACAAACAAGTACATGGCATACATTTAAAAAACAATCAATTTTTGAATTGGGTGCATTAATTATTAATTACCTCCTGACAATTTGCAGATCTAATTTGGTCCAAAAGTTTTGAAACTTTTCACTTTGGCCCCTGCACACTCGAAAGTATGCTCGTTGCGGCGATGGATTAGATCGCTGTAGCGTGCGCTCATTTGCGTCGCGTACATGCACCATGTGCGATCGCCGCAGCAATGGATTATATCTTCGCGGCGACGCTGATTTTGCAATTAGCAAGTACACCAAACAACGCACGCCGCAGCGATGGATTATATCACCGCAGCGAGCGTACACTGATTTGTAGCATCTGATCAGTTCAACCAGCTACAAAAATACGCAAACGGATTTTGCAATCAATCTTGGCTACTGATTTCAACAAAAATCCATAACCCAATATATTCCAAAATTGCAGATCATCAACAAATTAAATTAATCAATCAATTGATTTCTTCAAACATGCTTTCAAGGCAGATTTTGTGCAGATTCATCAAGGCAACATATTATCAATCAAATGCATGTAATCAACCATACATAAAACTATAAAATCTGGTACCCTAGGCTCTGATACCACTGTTAGGAAACGATCAAGTCATGGCAGTAAAAAACAAAAATTATTTACAACATGGATCGTTCCTTAGAACCAAGATCAGGGCACAAATTTACAGTTTATACATTAAATAAGAATCTGCAGAAAATTCAGTCTAGAGTTAAGAAATCTTACGCATGTTTGGAGGCTGCTCCAACTTGTCTCTGAACGGGTTCCGCTACCGACCCAAGAGTAGGATAGAACCAATGTAGTCCACACGAAGATAACCCCAAAGAACTAAAGAGGGATTTGCTAGATCCTCTTTAGCCTTAAGAACCAAGAACAAAATCAAGCAAATTTTGTTTCAAGTAAAAAAACAATCTGGCGTGGGAGAGAAAGGGGTTGGAGTTTTTGCTTTGTGAATGAAAATGAATTCTATTAATTATTTCACAAAGTGTTACACTTATATAATGCACACTATGCCCCATTCCATCATGGAATGGGCTTGGGCACCAACCCAAACAACTCCTATGTCCAAACAGTCCCATTTAGATATTTTAATAATTATTATTGTTATTTCAATTAAATTCAATTAATATATATATTTCATATATTAACATTTAACAATAACAATAATTCATTTAAATATATGCGAACAAATATTTAAATATAATTTCACTTATTTAATTTTATTAACAAATTAAATAAAGACTATGATCTCAGCAAATTTAATTGCACTGTAAAATTATCAAAATATCCTTTCGCCTAAAAAGACGAAAACGCCCTTCTTATAAACTGGCTCTTAAATTATCTTCTATGTGTATGACCCGTAGGCTCCTCATCATACAGGTAGTGTGCAGTATCGTGATTAACACCAATTAATCGTCTCACTACACACAGACCAAGATTGGCCCCTAGCAAGTCATTATGACCACCCGATAGATTCAGATTCAGCAAAGCAGCTACCTGTCAACGATATGGTTACCGTACAATCCGATCCTTTCATCATCTGTTATCTCAAAGAGACCGAAGTATAGAAATAGTGTCAACCTCAGTTACTCTCGATATGTATGTATTCAATTACTGGTCCAATGACCAGAATTATAAACTGGATAGAGCAACAACTCAATCCCACTGTTACCACAGTTTTAGAGTCATTGCCATTTACTGAATTGCATCGTGGGATAACTTCCCCCCGTACCTGGGAGTGATGAATCCTCTGTCGATTCACTATAGTGTTGATACACTCCTTGATGCAGCCAATCACTACCGTATTGACAACTCTGAATAGAATTACGTTAGGTTAGTGTCAAACTGCACCAACCGATGCAGAAGATGCTATGTTGATCTCAAGTCTAAGGATCACATGCATCACCATTCGTTAGAAGATTCTTTCCATAGACACTGGGGTTACCATCCATATGGAATCCTCTGGTGAGTAAGTCCAGTGAACTTGCCTACAGCAAGCATCCATGTGTTGCACCAGGTTGTCACCAAACAACCTTGACAAGTGAGATCAGTCCCTGCCTTTTGACAGGGCCGTTCAACACTATGACAGTTTTACCGTATTCTATGTGCCCTTACTTCAGAATAATACTGGGGCTACAAACGTTTCTAGAATGACCACCATATGTGCTCATATGGTTCTCACTATCAAGATTTGAAACACTTGATACACACGTCACGGTTCTACCATTCTAAGGGCATATATCAATTCATACAATGATAATTTACGCGATATAGAATAAAATGTCTTTTATTTATCAATGAACTTTATAACAAATAGTCAATTCTACAATAATTGATTGGCTGTAACACCTACTGAAAACTGTACAATGCATGCATAATAACAATAGAAAAGTTGGGCNTATATATATATACTGCTAGAGCTGGAGCTTCCGTAATGGAAAGTTGAACCGAGAGCGATCATTTCTTCACGACTTCTTGAAGATTCAAGAGCTTGAGCCTCTTTTAATCGTTTCGCCGCGCCTCCTCCGATCGGTAGAGTGTTGCTTTCAAGTATGGCTTTTACATCGTAGCGATTCATGTCGAAATTGGTGACTGTGTTCAAGCCTCTGAACTTTATCGCCGCAATGTCATATGCTTCTGCAACTTCCTCCTCCGTACCTTAAATTGTTAGAAATAAGTAAATAGCTTCTATAATTCAATGAGTGCATGGGAATTTAATTACTCACTGAAAGTTACCATGTAGAGATCTTTGTTTCCTACAACTCTTCCAATCCTTGCTTGCCATCTTCCATGCTGGTGATGCCTTGTAACTCCACGATACATGGAAGCACCCCTCGAAAAACCACTACTCTTCCTGTATTTGATCGCCAAAAATGAATTAATAATAAGCTTTTCGGTGACAAAATCAATCATATATAAACAAAAAATCGTCCAAATTCAATGATCTGTTTTGGGCAGTCCATCCTGATGGACCAGCAATGTTGAACTGCCTGGAAAACAAATTGAAATTAAACAATGAGAAGCTGGAGTATAGCAGGAAGGCTTTAATGGACTATGAAAATGTGAGTAACAGCACTACTTTTTATGTTTTGGATAATATGAGGGAGGTGTTAGGAAACGATCAAGTCATGGCAGCGGAAAACAAAAATTATTTACAACATGGATCGTTCCTTAGAACCAAGATTAGGGCACAAATTTACAGTTTATACATTAAATAAGAATCTGCAGAAAATTCAATCTAGAGTTAAGAAATCATACGCACGTTTGGAGGCTCCTCCAACTTGTCTCTGAACGGGTTTTGCTACCGACCCAAGAGTAGGATCGAACCAATGTAGTCCACATGAAGATAACCCCAAGGAACTAAAGAGGGATTTGCTAGATCCTCTTTGGCCACAATTTTAGAATCATTGTCATTTACTGAATTGTGTCGTGAGATAACTTCCCCCCGTACCTAGGAGTGATGAATCCTCTGTCGATCCACTATAGTGTTGATACACTCCTTGATACAGTCAATCACTACCGTATTGACAGCTTTGAATAGAACTACGTTAGGCTAGTATCAAACTGCACCAACCGATGCAAAAGACGCTCTGGTGATATCAAGTCTAAAGATCACATGCACCACCATTCGTTAGAAGATTTGTTCCATAGACACTGGGGTTACCATCCTATGGAATCATTTGGTGAGTCAGTCCAGTGAACTTGCCTACAGCAAACACCCATGTGTTGCACTAGGTTGTCACCAAACAACCTTGACAAGTGAGATCAGTCCCTGCCTTTTGACAGGGCCATTCAACAATATGATAGTTTTACCGTATTCTATGTGCCCTTACTTCAGAATAATACTGGGGCTACAAACGTTTCTAGAATGACCACCATATGTGCTCATAGGGTTCTCACTATCAAGATTTGAAACACTTGATACACTCGTCACAGTTCTACCATTCTAAAGACATATATCAATACATACAATGATGATTTACGCGATATAGAATAAAATGTCTTTTATTGATCAATAAACTTTATAACAAAAAGTCAATTCTACAATAATTGATTGGCTCTAGGGTACCTACTCTAACAAGAGGAGTTAAAAAATAAACAAGTGAAGTGGAAGAATAGGGATGCATGTCCATCTAGTGTGCTTATTTGGACGATCGTCATATAATTTGGATGGCCGTCCATGTTAAAGGGATGCCCGTCCCTAGTATTTGAACAAGAGTCCATTGATTTTTTATTTATTTTTAAATATTTTTTATGGACCGTCGTTCATTTCTGAATGAATGACTGTCCAGAAAGTATGAATGCCCGTCCGAAACTGTTAAATGATCGTCTATTTACAGAAGTCTTCTACCATCCTACATGATGATATTCGAGTTAGATGCCACGTATTTCAGCGTAAATTTTGGGTACCAACTTTTTGTGTACATAACATTTTTGGGAGTGCAAACCCCTTCAATCAGAATCTATAGGACCTGACTACTTGATTGATCGTGGGATGCTAAAACCTTGCTATATAAGTAAAAAGATAATATCGCTCAAATGTACTTTTCTAAAAGGTGCTTCCAAATAAAACCGCATTCAAACAAATTGTAATCATCAATAAAAGTCTACAAGCCATTAATTTTAGAAGTATGATTCCAAATTTCCAATTAAATCACTAAATAATGAATCGCTTCAAAGTCACGCATAAAAGGTAAGGAAGAAAAGGCCGTGCACAGACAGAAACTAAAAAAAAAAAAATGCTCTTTTAGAAATGTTACACAAAGAAAAATAACAAGATCATAAATTCCCATCAAGCAAAAACCATGATATCTAAATGTAGAGTAAAAGAAAAAAAGAAAAACACAAACCAAGAATAAAAACTCCTTATTGAAGCTAAAGCCTTTACAATCAGTTTTTTTTCTTTTCCACAAAATTGATATTCACCGCGAGTTCTTGCTTGCTTTTAAGGTTCATAAACCTATCCCGGCTGGCGCATAGGCCAGCCCAGAAGCGGAGGTGATCCTGGTGGTGTTGCATTGCAGCTGGGAGAGAAGAGACTCAGTTCCACATAGGGGCTACTGGAAGTCCCATCTCTTCCCAACATGCGAAAAGAGATGGACCCGCGCTTGGTCGAGGTGTCAGAGTTTCTCCCAGGGCTAATTTCAAGACTTTCATCAGTGTGGCACTGGTTAGCAACAAGAGATATGGTGTCATTATGATCATCAATAAATCTTCTCCTAGCCTCCAAGTCCTGTAGATTCCCCAGAGCCAAAGAATCCGCAACCGGGCAGTATACAAGCATAAAAATACAGACCCCAGCACAAAATAAAAGGGCAAGAAAAGCAAAGAACGCAAGAACTTCAAACAGAACATCTTCTGGTTTCGATAAAACAGATAAACCAAGTAAAAGAACCCTTAAAGGAAGGAAACTGGAAACTGAGACTATTAATGTGTAAACCCTTGTCTGCAAACCCTTATTGATGACCAATTGCAAAATCCGCCTTCCCAGCCAAAACATGTAGGCAGTTAGGACAGTAGCAAAAAGCCCTAGAAGGATAGTGCTGAGTAGAGGGTAAGTGCACAGGGCAATATCCACAGAAGTAGCAGAAGTACTCGTGAAATAACGGGGCAACTTTTGTAAGTTATTCTTATCCTTCTGTAACCTGGGTCCAATTAGAATAATGATGAGCTGAAGAATGAAAACTGGGAAGCAGTAGAGAAATACATAGGCGGCTGTTTTTCCATTCCATTTTCGGCTTAGAATTCCAGACTCCATTCTCTGTAATGGTGCCCGGAGGAGAAACACAAGAGTCAGGAACAAGCAAGGTTCTGCAAACCCTAGATTTGAGACAACATAGCCTTTGCAGACGTTTTCCTGCCATTTTAAGTCAAGAGCATTCAAAGCTTTTCCCTCACGTCTTAAATAACTTAACCGAACAATTTCACCACAACCCCACCAGATTGCAAACAAAATGAACGTGATTCGGATTATCCAAGGGCCACCAAAATAACTAAGTTGTACGAAATCTTGACTACGAACACGAGAGCGGAAGTAAAACAAGTAAGCAATGCACAGCAAACCCAGAAAAATCAAGATTGCAACTAGACAAATTGTCGCCACACCGAAAGCATCGGTAACAAATCTCGTCAGGGGCATTACCCGAAGCACAGATTCCACGCATGCTCTCTGCCAGCATGGATACAAAAGGTCCTCAGGGGATGAATGTGCTTCCTTCCCAGGATTAATGATGATAACAGCAGTTTCAAATAAAAAATTCAAAAGATACCAATCAGCATCATCCCCGAGAGCAATCACATGGCAATCTGCTCCAGTTTTCCAACATATGCAACAAAGCCATATCTACCCTGTAAATCAACCAAAACCAAAATGGTTTGACTCTGCTGATCACTCCAACAATATTTAGGTTTTGGATGTGCTGTTAGTGATCCAGCCCACTGACCTGCATTAAAGATAGCCAAAAGCTTGAGAAAATGCAAACAAAAAACTCACATGAAATTAAAAAATTAAGCATAATCTTAACCTTCCTCCAGAACAATACATTTTGCCCCTTATTTCATGACTTCCATTATTTGTCATAGACAAAGGAACTCTGACCAAAAATAAATTAAAACCAAAAAGTTGAACATAATCAACATAACAGATTTTGCATAACCATAAAATTCGAATAAATTCCTTAATGTGATCAATTAATTATTATCCGATGAAAATTCTGGCAAATAGCCAACAATACGACAAACACACACTATATTCTATACATGAGTACAGATGGCAAACATCCCAGCCAAGCATAAGTGGTACAATGGTTACCACACTTTATTCACACTTTAAAAACCTCAACAATCTATTCTGGTGGTAAGTCAATAACCATGTAATTACATAGTAAACCCACTAACATGATCCCACAACAAAAGAATCACACAGATCAAAATCACATACTCTGCTCCCCCAGCTTGCCCTATCAAACAGATGGCATACTGACATTAATTTAAGTTGCATCATCAATGTGAAAACCGCCAAAAACATTGGAATAAGACATTAATGATAGCCTGGGATGATAAACGACAAACCAAAAGGATTAACAGAAAATTAACATTTGCATACTTTAAAAGAAATTTCTAGATCATTAATATTTATAAGTGTGAAGAGTCACTGAAATCCATGAAACAAAACCTACAATATAGATAAATAAATATTTTCTATTACCATGCATAAGACACCTGCTTCCACCACATAATCAAAATTCAACTCCTTACACTCCTTTGGAAAAACATTTAAGTAAAAACCTGACTGAAAGAATATACATAACACATCAAACGTTTACATTGAGGTTAAAATTGGCTTCTATGGCATTTTATAAGTGTTTGCAGAGAAATAATGAAGTGGCCCGTTCATACAACAATGAAATCTATTTATTGCAATATCATAAAGAAAATGTGTATAAACATGACTACAAGATATGATTTATTTGGAGATATAACTGAAAACAAAACATTCCTCCAAACAGAGTTCCTTGACATGCATTTGCCACCAAAGTTACTATATAAAATAAAAATAACTGCCCTACAACATTTAGCGGAACGTTGCTCCAAAAACTGACCCTGGAGTTACCATAAAAAATAAACATTAATGATATACGACATTTCACAAACAACATTTTAAGGAAAATCCTAATTATGGTACAAAACCAACATTGTCGCCAGGCATCATCTAGAAACTATAGTTACACTTGTCTAACTTAAAATTAACAAAATAAGGGCCTTATTATTAATACCAGAAAATATTAATTACAATGCCATCAGAACACATGCAAATGTTGTTAAACTTTTCTAGCTTCCAAACAGGATTTGATTTTTTGCATTTGCCACCGAAGTTACTATATGAAGTAAAACATTGATGCCCTAGGACATTTGGCAAGACTATCATTCAAAAGAAATGCATCTGCCGCCGAAGTTACCATATAAAATGAAACATTAATCACTTACAACATTTGGCAAACAACATTTTAAGCAAATGCTACTTACTGTATAAACCAAGATCAATGCAGTGCATCAACTAGAAACAATTATCTGACTTAAAATTAGCCAAATAACGGCCCCATCATTGATACCCAAAAAAAATCTTGTTACAATGCCATAAGAACACATTTATAAACAAGGTTTAAATTCATCTACCTTTAATTTAATAATAAAGAACATGTATCCATTAGCTACGGATACAAAATATTTGTAATAATAACTGAAAGAAGTTATACTCCAAAAAGAATTCCTTCCCATACATTTGCCACCAAGTACCACGTATAATAAACATCACTGCCCTACGACATTTAGCAAAGAACAAACCAAAAAAATCCAAATCATACATTTCCAAGTAAAACATTTACTTGCAACAATTACGTAGCTAGTAAGAAACAAAACAAGCTTGCACAATAATATAAACCAACAGCTACTACGTACCAACGTAAAACATAATAGCAACCTCGAGTCCTATTAATAACACAAAAATTCTCTATACAACATGCCATTACAACACATGCATAACAACAGCTACCATGTACTGAGATAGAATATTATAAATAAAACCAAACATAACCACATCACTAAACCAGTTGCGGAACCAACAATAATTATACTTCTCAAATACAATAATTTCCTACACAAACAACGATCATCAGCTCCATGCATGATTTACGAGGGTATTGATACTCGATAAAGGTCAAACCTGTAACATTACATGCATGATTTGTGATTTGGAACATAAATCTTGCAATATTGAACGTAAAACTTGCAACAGCAAGAATTGTGACAAAGAATGTAAAATCATTTTCCCTCATTTTTCATCATGTTTACTCTTTTATTTTCCATTACTTCCTCAGCAACCAAACAGACACAAAATCACAAACAATAAAAGCACCAAATCACAAACCAGAACTCATCAACTCGTTTCATGCAAACGATAACATCGTCTAGTAATTAAAATTGTACAAAAATGGTGGGAAAATCAAAGGAAAAACAAGCGAAGCGAGGACGTTAAGCTAAAGAAGCATGCAAATGGCGAAAAACGTAACAAAAACGAACAAAAGTTAGATCAAACAAGAGCTTACAAAGCGACGAATCTTGATCTGGCGAGCTCGGGCAGAGAATCGGATAATCGAAAAACGAGATCGAGAAACCCTAACGGAGAGAGAGAGCGAGCAGGGGAAGAGATTGAGAGAGAGAGAGAGAGAGAGGAGGGAAGGAGAGAGAACGTAGTTAGGGGGAATACGTGAGTGGGACTTTGTTGGTGACAGGCTGTCTCCAGCTGTGACAGTCCGAGGCTGGAGGCTCGGATGTTTTAAGGGTTTGCTTCGGGTTTTACTCCGAACCTACGTGGCATTTGTCCTGGCGGCGTTTACGGCGACTTGCTCGCTTTTGGCTTTTTGTTATTTGTTCTTCCGTTTCTTTTTTTTTAATGGGTAAAGTTTATGTCCAAATATTATCCTGAATATTATATTGTACATTATTAGAAATATTATATTAATTTAAAAATAGATTATTTTGTAGTTACGGTTGGTTCACATAATGTTATATTATTAAAAAAATTGGGTTATCTTATAGATAGATCACTGGTAAATATTATTGGATATAAATTATTATTGTGTTTGGTTTGTCAACACTGATAAATAATTAAGGCATTTGGTTGACAATAATTATATATTACTAAGATATTATTTTATTAAAATGCCTTTATTAGTGAAGATTATTAGGTAACACTTATTAAGTTGTTTGGTTGAATATATATAATTCCGGCTAAGCACAATATTGATCCCAATTCAAAATAAGTTACAAATCTAAATGTAACTGACCAAATTAATTTGTTTTTCTTTCAGCAACCAGTTGTTTTGCAGAAAAAAATCAATAAAATAATTAAAAAAAAATCGTCAATCACTACATCTAGACAAGGCAATCATCATCCAAAACACACCAAACACTTTTGGTGCTTGTACAATATGGCCTAAGCAACCCCACCTAGTACAGGTGTTCAAAAAAATGCAAAAATCGAATCGATAACCAAACCAAAAAATCGGTTAACCGAAAAAACGGTTCGGTTAAGGTTCGAAAAATTCAAAAAATCGAATTTTTAGTTCGGGAAAAAATAACAAGCGGTTAACCGAAATCGGTTTTTTGAACCGGTTATATATATATATATTAAATAACAATAAAAATAAATATAAATATAAATATAAATATTATATATTAAATAAAAAATAATAATATAATGTATTATATATTAAATAAAAAAATAACAATATTTTTAATGTAATGTTAGTAGTGGTCAATGGATATGTATGAATGTTTAATTTTTATTTGGATATGTATTATTTATATTTAAAATTTAATTTAGGAAAAAATAAAAAATAATAAGTTTTATAAAAAAGGGGGGGAGGGGGGAACTGGTTCGGTTTCGGTTCGGGAATTTTTTCGAATCGAAAAACCAGTTCGGTTCAAAAAAGCGGTTAACTGGTTCAGTTAACCACTTTTGAACACCCCTACCACCCAGCAAAAGCAAGCAACATGTCTACACCCTCTCTACACCCAGCAAATGTGAAGTAGCAGCACACCGACACCTTTCCAAGAACAAAAAAACCAGCAAGATGACAATAGGAACCGCCAGCAATAGCACCACAGCCATACACACGCCAATTCTTGGACACCACAATTCCTAAACCATGTTAGGAAACGATCATCTATAGCATCGGAAAACAAAAATGATTTACATGATAGATCGTTCCTTAGAACCAAGATCAGGGCACAAAAATTACAGTTTATACATTATAATAAAATCTGCAAAAAAATCAGTTTGAAGTTTAGAAATCTTATGCACGTTTGGAGGATCCACCAAGTTTGTCTCTGAACGGATTTCGCTACCGACCCAAGTCTAGGATCGAACCAATGTAGTCCACACAAAGACAACCTCAAGGAACTAAAGAGTGATTTGCTAGATCCTTTTTAGTCTTTAAGAACCTAGATGAAAATCAAATGAAATATTTGATTCAAGCAAAAGAAATCTGGCGTGGGAGAGCAAAAAGGGGCTGGAATATTTTGCTTTGTGAATGAAATGAATTAATTAATTTTATTTCACAAAGTGTTACACTTATATAGTGCAACACTATACCCTATTCCATCATGGAATGGGCTTCGGCACCAATCCAAACAACTCCTTGCATCCAAACAGCCCCTTTAAGATATTTTAGTTTTAATTATTATTGTTATTTCAATTAAATTAAATTAATATATATATTTCATATATTAACATTTAACAATAACAATAATTCATTTAAATATATGCAAACACATATTTAAATATAATTTCACTTATTTAATTTAATTAACAAATTAAATAAAGGCTACGACCTCAGCAAATTTAATTGTACTGTGAAATTACCAAAATACCCTTTCGCCTAAAAAGACAAAAACGCCCTTCTTGTAAACTGGTTCTTAAATTATCTTCTATGTGTGTGACCTGTAGGCTCCTTATCATACCGGTAGTGTGTAGTATCACGATTAACGCCAATTAATCGTCTCACTACACACAGACCAAGATTGACCTATAACAAGGCATCATGGCCACCCGATATATTCGGATTCAGTGAAGTAGCTACCTGTCAACGATATGGTTACCGTACAATCCGATCCTTTTATCAACCGTTATCTCGACGAGACCGCGGCATAGAAATAGTGTCAACCTAGGTTACTCTCGATATTATGTATTTAGTTACTAAACCAATGACCTGAATTATAAACTAAATAGAACAACAACTCAATCCCACTGTGGCCATAGTTTTAGTGTCATTGCCATTTACTGAATTGTGCCGTGAGATAACTTCTCCCGTACCTAGGAGTGATTAATCCTCTGTCTATCCAACATAGTCTTGATACATTCCTTAATGCAGCCAATCACCATTGTATTGACAGTTCTGAATAGAACTACGTTAGGCTAGTGTCAAACTATACCAATCGGTGCACAAGGCGCTCCGGTGATCTCAAGACTAAGGATCACATGCACCACCACTCGTTAGAGGATTTGTTCTATAGACACTAGCGTTACCATCCATATGGAATCCTTTGGTGAGTCAGTCTAGTGAACTTGCCTACAGCAAGCACCCATGTGTTGCACCAGGTTATCACCAAACAACCTTGACAAGTGAGATCAGTTACTACCTTTCGACAGGGTCGTTCAACACAATGATAGCCTTACCGTATTTATCTGTGCCCTTACTTCAGAATAATACTGAGGCTACGGATGTTTCTAGAATGGCCACCATATGTGCTCATAGGGTTCTTGTTGGAGTAGGTGCCCTAGAGCCAATCAATTATTGTAGAATTGACTCTTTGTAATAATGTTCATTAATCAATAAACGGCATTTTATTCTATATCGCGTAAATCATTATTATTGCAATATGTATTGATAGATGTCCTTAGAATGGTAGAATCGTGACGAGGGTATCAAGTGTTTCAAATCTTGATAGTGAGAACCCTATGAGCACATATGGTGGCCATTCTAGAAATGTCCGTAGCCCCAATATTATTCTGAAGTAAGGGCACAGATAATGCGGTAAGATTATCATAGTGTTGAACGACCCTGTCGAAAGTGACCGATCTCATTTGTCAAGGTTGTTTGGTAACAACCTGGTGCAACACATGGGTGCTTGCTGTAGGGGATTACACCGCAGCAAGTTCACTGGACTGGCCCACCAGAGGATTCCATATGGATGGTAACCCCAGTGTCTATGGAACAAATCCTCTAACGAATGGTGGTGCATGTGATCCTTAGACTTGAGATCACCGGAGTGTCTTGTGCACCGATTGGTGTAGTTTGACACTAGCCTAACGCAGTTCTTTTCAGAGCTGTCAATACGGTGGTGATTGGCTGCATCAAGGAGTGTATCAAGACTATGGTGGATTGACAGAGGATTCATCACTCCCGGGTATGGGAGAAAGTTATCTCACGGCGCAATTCAGTATATGGTAATGACACTAAAACTGTGGCCACAGTGGGATTGAGTTGTTGCTCTATCCAATTTATAATACGGGTCATTGGTCCAGAAACTGAATAAATAATATCGAGAGTAACCGAAGGTTGACACTATTTTATGCCTTCATCTCGTCAAGATAACGTATGATGAAAGGATCGAATTGCACGGTAACCATATCGTTGACAGGTAGCTACTTTGCTGAATCCGAATCTATCGGGTGGCCATGATGCCTGCTAGGAGCCAATCTTGGTCTATGTATTAGTGAGACGATTAATTTGTGTTAATCGCGATACTATACACCCGATATGATGAGGAGCCTATGGGTCACACACTAGAAGACAATTTAATATCCAAGAAGAAAAAAGGGTGTTTTCGTCTTTTAAGGCAAAGGGTATTTTGGTAATTTCATAGTGCAATTAAATTTGCTGATGTCGTAGCCTTATTTTAATTTGTTAGAAAAATCAAATAAGTGAAATTACGTTTAAATGTATGTTCGCACATATTTAAATATATTATCATTATTGTTAAATGTTAATATATATTAATATATATTAATTGATTTTAATTAAGATAATGATGAAAATAAAATAAATCAAATTGGGAGTGTTTGGCAACATGGGGCGTTTGGGTTGGAGCCCAAGCCTATTCCGTATGGGATTAGGGAAAATTGTTTTTAAATAAAAAGGAAAACTGTGTGATTTTAAGGAGAGGATTTTTCCTTTGAAAAATAAAACACACAGCAGCCCCCTTTTGGAATACACTCCACCGGCAGAAAAATTAGTTTAGCCTAAATCAATTTCAATTGATTTCTCTTCTTCGAATCTTGAAGCCAAAGAGGATCTAGCAAATCCATCTTTGGTTCTTTGAGATTGTCTTCGTGTGGACTACGTGGGTTCGATCCTACACTTGGATCGGTAGCAAAACGTTCAAAGACAATAGTGTGGGAGCCTCCAAACGTGCGTATGGTTTCTAAAACTAGATTATTAATTTATGTAGATTCTTGCTTTGATAAAATTGTAAAATTATACCCTTGATCTTGGCTCATGTAAATGATCTCTACATTAATTTTGTTTTGTTTCCACTGCGTATACGGGACCGTTTACTAACAGTTCCCCTATCAAGATTTGAAACACTTGATACCCTCGTCACGGTTCTACCATTCTAAGGACATAATCAATACATACAATGATGATTTTCGCGATATAGAATAAATGCCTTTTATTGATTAATGAACATTATTA